AGACTGTATATGTCATTTGAACTACAGAACAAATTCGTTTTAATTTGTTAAGGTCATCTTTTTTTTTAATTTTCGTGCGATTACGCACTGTTCCAAAAACTTAAAACAGAATGCTTGAGTTGATTTTGCTCTTGAATATATGTAAATAGTATTAAAAAATGTACCAAAATCACATAATTCCTTCAAAAATATCTCAAACTGGAAATTTCACTTTCTATTTCTATAAATGTATTACGACAGTATTATGAGTTTCAAGAAAAGACGAATCGTCTGTTTAACTTTCAAACGCGGTCTGGAAACACATGGATTTGAATGCTCAAATTTCGATGATGACTTGTGAACAATATTTCTGATTGGCTTAGCTAAATAAAATTGAGGTCTGTGAGACAGATCGTGGGTTCAGATGACAAAAGTTAAGGCAGCTTAAATATCAACCGTTTTTCGAGTCATCTGAACTACTTCGGAGGTGGCTTAAAATCTGGCTTGGAAAGTTCAGCAAGCTTAGTTTTGCCGTCTGAACGCTACAAGCAAACATTCAGCCGGATATGTCATGTCTGCGCGTGAACATTTGTCTAAACAAATTCTCGCCATTATTACCTGTCATAATGAGCATGCGTAATGGTGTTATGACCTCTGAACTTCCGAGGTAATTGCCGAAGCTGGCTGAACTTTTATGTCCGCGCAACAAAAAAACAACAACAGTAAACCAGACGCGAAGAACGGTTGATACTTAAGCTGCCTTAACTTTTGTCCTATGAACGCACTATACGGTACTGTTGGTCCCCACTTAACCACTTGACCCAATTAACAAAAAAAAGTATATTTTGTGACCTATCCGCGCTAAGACTATGGCGACTATATAAAGTAAGATTTGCAATAATAAGTAGATAAGATTTGTTCGAGGTGGAGGTTTTCACGCCCTGGATTTATTGGTGGTGATAGTAGACAGGCCTACTTTAAGTAGTTGATGTCCAATGGTTAATGGTATTTTATATAACTGACATTTATCTGATGTCATTATTTACCGCAATCATACTTAAAATGCTTCAATGACTAAATTTACTTTCTCATCACCGTTTATCATGTTTATACATTGTAAGAAATATACGTATTGCCAAACAAAATACAAAAATGAAATTAAAAAAACAACATTACGCACTACTTTTCTACCTTGCTATGCCCGTGAAATGAAACTGTGAAATGAGGGAGATTTTGTCATGTCAGCAGCACAAGAGTAGTTTTGATTATTTTCATCCGTTAGGGGGTCTAGCGCAAGGGGTTTATTTCTGACAACTAGCTCTAACCAGCATCACTGACAGGAGTGGAAAACCATGTTTCCCAACTATGTCGAGATTTAGTTAAGAGGTTTGTCTTGAAGTCACCTTGGCTACTGATAAACAGAAAGAAGTTTAACTACGGTTTGATTTGATCTGAATTTACATTCTTTAATTGTCATTTTACATTAAAGACATCATGTTCACACGATTGGTATTGAATTCCACTCGCATCGCTAAGATGATAGCAATCTTTTTTTCTTCGTAAAAAAAAAACCGGCGTCAACTTTTCAGTTTTTAGTTGATGCATTGCCTTTGAAAACATCTAAACTACCGAGAACTGAATTCGTATACAATCTAATAAATATATGTAATATTTATACCTGTTAAAACAATCTAATAGACATATGTAATTTTTATATCTGTTAAGCAAAACAAAGTTTGTAAATTGATAAACAAATAAATAAAAGGTTAAACAAAAGAAATATATTAATCTATGAATATACAAATTTCAACTCTATTTATTATAAATCAATGGTTTATATTAAAATTATTATTAATCAAAATTATGAACATAGAAATACATTATTTTGATATTTATTTAACAAAAATAAATAAAAATCATTTGATAGACATAGAATTATATAATATATAAATTAATATTCATAAAATTTGCAAGATTATTTCATACAGTATCTCATTTTTTAATGTATAAAATCGAAAGCTCCAAAGCTTTAAGATAAAAAAAAATAATAAAAAAACTGGTTGCTTTTAATGCACTTTAAAGGACTTGATGACAATGCCATTCAATTGCAATTTTTCCTAATCCTTTTTAATGTAATAAAATATTATTAAAAAAAGAAAGTGCAAACACTTCCCAAATATATAAAATACTGAAAAAAAAATCACAAATACTATGAAATTCTCTCTTCGGTCGTACAGAAATGACCAGATATATGTGAAAATAAAACAAAATTTTAGTGATGTAGCCTTTTACACCTTTTGTTAGGCATTCATGTTGAAATTCAAGATGGTGGCAAACCCATATGAAACTATGTTATGTTTAGGCAAATAAATTCCAAATAAACTACGTATTGCTTGTTTGTTGTTATATCTCTTGGTTTGAAGTTTTCACTCTCCCTTTCTGATCAAATATTTTATTATATGTTTTGTATTATTTTCACCATATAAGAATGTGTGATTTGAAATGTAATAAGTAATGATTTCAGAAGTAGCATATCAACTACTGCGTCATAAAATCAATTTTCGCGATCGGCTTATTTAAATAAATATTATGTTATAATAATCTCTACCTTACTGACAAAAAAACTTTTGCCTTTATTTTTTAGTAGTGTGAATGACAAGTTATAAAAATATGAATCTGACAATGAAAGTATTTTTACTCGACAATCTCTTATATAACTTTAGGAAATGTACCTACAACAAAACTAAATATCCCTGATAATGATTTTCACAAGAAAACCTCGTAAGTTTTTGTTCAAAACTGGAGAAAACGGCCATTCCATTATTTTGAAGCTTATTTTTATAAATTTGAATGTAATTTCAATGGTAGGTTTAAACACCAACAACTTCCTGTATAGCTTTATTTATCTTCTTTCTTAATTTGATTTGTTTTTCAATTATATCACCCGAAAGAAACATGGGTCTTGTGTTGGGTCTTTGGTTAAAACCGAGCCGGCTTAAATCTATATTATTCATACCGAGTTGATTTAAACCTAAACCATTTCCTCCCAACTGAGTAGACAAACCGTTTCCAACAAGTTGAGTTGCCAAGTCGTTTCGAGCAAGCTGGGTTGCCAAACCGTTTCCAACAAACTGGGTTGTCAAACCGTTGCCTCTGATTTGACCACCCAAAGCGTTTCCTCCAAGTTGACTCACAGATAACCCAGTTCCAATCTGCATTCTGTTCAGTCCCAAATTGTTAGCCCGTAGGTTAACCGGCTGTAAATTGTTTACGCCTGTTGGGTTAATTCTTAAAACATTTTGCTTCAGGTTTAAACCATTTGTTCCAATTCTGTTTAGCTGTAATGTATTGGTACCAAGATTATTTACACCAACCCGATTCACTCCAACCTGGTTTAATCCATTGAAAGAAATTGGGTTTGATGTGAAACTGTTTAGTCGGTTCAAACTATTAATTGGTCTTTGCCTCACAGTTAAACCGTTTAAGCCAACTTGGAAGTTGTTCAGAGGAAGCGGGTTCACCATTAAACCATTGTTATTAAATTGGGCCGTTCTCCTGATCACCACTCGGTTGTTGAGCGGATTCATAGGTTGCTGAAATCCACCGATATTATTTACCACTTGTCTTCCCAAATTCTGACCAACTAGTAGATTATTTGGCAGTCTGTTGCCAATACCAGTTTGACCTAATATAATATAAGATAAAATACAGTGATATATATTTATAACGATATGTTAACTAGAGCTTTGTGGGAGAAGGAATCTAAGAAACGGCTTTGAATAATCGAGATATTCTCGCCCTTACTTCATATTAGTACGGTTTTCATGGAGGGTGGATGACAAGTTATCCGCTTCCAAATAACTGGTATCACAGACTACGGTTTTGATATAGTGGCGATGTAACATATTAATTGCAGTTCAATCTCAGGCCTATAGCCAGACTTGATTGTTCGGGGTTGGGGGCAAATAATTAACCGGAGGCGCAATGCTGTATGGCATTTAGTTGCAGTTTTGAAATTGATCGGTTGGCAGAATTTTTTTCAGGGGGGGTGGGGGGGGGGGGGGGGGGTGC